CTCCTCCCTCCCCTCTCTGCACCTGTCCTAGCTGGCTTCAGCGATCTGTGAGTCCCCTGGGCCAGAAGTAGATTCCATAAGGTGCCCTGAACCATTCTCCTGGCTTTGGAAAGGGAACAAATTAACAAACAAGGAAAAAATAAGCTACCGGCCCCCCAAGCCAGGACCTCAGGGTTGGTACAGCTCCTTTGCCTAGGCACAGGCATAAGGGCTCCGCAGACTTTGAGTGCCTTCCACCCCTACGTAGACTTGTGTGGGCCCATCTCATAAGCCCTCACTACCACAGTACAACAGGGTAAATACCTAAAGTCTAACTTCAACTGTTTCAGCTGTGAAGTGGCAGGTTTGTGACGTTTGACACTGCTCTGCCCTTTAAGCAGGCGCCTTACCTGTCTGCATAACAGGCTGGAGGACTGGTGGCTCCACCCATGCCACCTACCCACCTGCTACAGGGGTCCAAGAATAAGTGGTGCCCCCCAGTCCTGACAGCCAACAGAGTAGGGTGCTCATAGTCTGGCTGCAAAACTCACCTACCTGCTCGCTCTAGGGAACAGGGACACACTTTCCTTACAGACACTCAGGGGCAGCCATCAGCCCCCTGCCTTGCTCATCCTGTGACCCACTACTGCAGCCAGATACCTGTGCCTACAAAAATCACCTACGCCTCTCTAAGACTGTAGGTGAGAGCCTGCACCATACACCTGGTGACCGACTGCCTGGACACCTGAGCTGAATCCATACAGTAAAATTTAACGGACTTCTGGCCACACATACTTAGTAACAGACCTAACTACCTGATAACAGGACATTAGAGCTTCAAAGGTGCCAATAATCAAACTATAGTGCATATGAGCAGCCTATCTGGGCATATGAAAACAAAACAAAACAAGAAGCTAGGACCCAGTAAACAAATATAAAATAAAATTATAATAACTTATTGATGGCTCGGAGACAAAAGTCAATATCAAATCACATAAACAGGCAGCCCATGATGGCTTCAGCAAGCTCCAAAAATAAAGAATCAATAAATTTTATGGAGGAAGAGAATTTCTTGGAATTACCAGGGCAGAATACAAAAGATTAATATACAGAACTCTTCAAGAAATTAGGAAGGGAATTCATCAAAACGCAAAGACAACCAAAGAACATACAGACAAAGAATTAGTGGAACTTAAAAAGGCTATTCAAGAGCATAATAAGAAATTTAATAGGCTGCAAGAATCCATAGAGAGACAGTAATCAGAAATCCAGAAGATTAACAATAAAATTTCAGAATTAGACAACTCAATAGAAAGTCATAGGAGCAGAACTGAGGCAGCGGAAGTCAGAATTAGTGACAATGAAGATAAAGCCCTTGACAACAACTTATTTTAGGAAAAATCAGATAAAAGACTTTTAAAAAATGAAGAAACTCTAGGAGTTACGTGGGACTCTATCAAGAGAAATAACCTGCGAGTGATTGGAGTAGCACAACAGGGGGGCGGGGGGATAAGAGAAAATATAGAGAGAATTGTTAAAGATTTGTTGACAGAAAACATCCCTGATATCATGAAAGATGAGAAGACATCTATGCAAGATGCTCATCAAACCCCACATAAGGTGGATCCCAAAAGAAAGTCATCAAGACATATTACAATCAAACTTGCCAAAACCAAAAATAAAGACAGAATTTTAAGACCAGCTAGGGATAAAAGAAAAGTCATCTACAAAGGACAGTCAATAAGAATAAGCTCAGACTACTCAGCAGAAATCATGCAGGCAAGAAGGCAATGGGATGACATATATAAAGCCTTGAAGGAAAAAAACTGCCAGCCAAAAATTATATATCCAGCAAAACTGTCTCTCAAATATGATGGCCAAATTAGGGCACTTCCAGATAAACAGAAGTTTGGGGAATTTGCAAAAACCAAACCAAAATTACAAGAAATACTAAAGGGAGACCTCTGGTTAGAAAATCAATAACAGCAGATAACAATGCAAGAGTACAGCACAGGACAGAGCAACCAGATATCGACTAAGAGAGGGAAGTCACAAAAATACACCAAAGCTAAAACACTGAAAATAGGGAAACAAACATACTAATACGTAAAACATGACAACATTAAAACAAGAAAGAGGGACTTGAAAAAGGCAGACATAGATTTTTCATATGGAGAGGAAGCCAAGGTGATATAAACAAATAAAAGACTGCTATAAACTTAGAAAAATACGGGTAAATATTAAGGTAACTACAAAGGAAACTAACAATCCTAC